GCAGTAACACTATGGAAGTAGATTGCCCCATCTTCCTTCTGAGGAGTGGCTGGTGGGTTTGAACCGCCAGCCTTCTGGGTAGCAGTCAAGTGCCTTTAGCCACTATGCTACCAGAGCTCCCATATAATAAAATACTTGGTCATCCAAGTTATTACCAAGTATATAAGAAAATACTTGGTAATAACTCGGATGGCCTTAATACTATTTATTTTAAAAGGTAGTAAAAGCCATTATCAAATTTATTACTAGTGAAATTCCCTCTCCACACACAATTAATGTAACCATTCTGGATTACTGGCATATCACTGCATCAACATTTTGCATTCTATCTTATATACCATGACTGTCATATGATTAAATTAGAAAGTAAAATGAATTATAAATCTCCTCTTTTGCTCCTAAGACTTACATAAAATTTCATTAAATATCTTCCTCCTTGCTCCAAGCTACTTCATGCAAGTAACTTTTTTAAAAAAAATAATAAAATAATTAAGACTATAATAGTGATTTCCCCCTTAATAGAGCACTCTAATCCAAGGTGCTAAATTGTTTTCAATTAAAAATTATTTCTCATCCCTAATATTTTTCTAAGTGGGTATTTTATTAAAATGGAACTGAAGTACTAGAAATCAAATACAGAATCTGTGAAAGCAGAAAAAACAACAAACTATTGCTCAACTCCTATTCAGTCAGTGTTTCTTTGGGGTGTGATGTTCATAGGGGGAACTGTGTGAAACAAAAGTCACAGAGTTTGAAAAAAATAAACCCAGTGAACAATATTTTAGACTTTTGTGGAGAAAAGATACAGATAAAAAGTAAACTGTGGAAGTCAATGTTGAAAAGGACAAGATCATTTTTATAATCATGAACTTTATTTTATTTACTATGCCAACATTTTCAGGAAAGAGATTTTACATCTGATTTTATAATTAATTTTACAGGCAAATTCTAACATACAGTATTTACTCTGAACTGGTTTTTCAAATCAATGGAAAACAATACTGTGGATATTAAAGATTATGGTGTTTTTGTTTTAGTTAGTAATGACTAAGAGACTTTAAGTTCTTAGGGTATTACTTTGTTATGGTAATGCTTTACCAAGGAAACAGTGGTTAGCTTTAACCCCAAGAAGATTAAATGACATGACGTATCTTTAATTAATGACGTAGTTAGAGATTGGGATCCACCATCAAGATCATTTTCTCAAATATATTCTTTCAAATTGCTGCAGCAGAGAAATGAAAGGAAGATGTGGAAAGATCATTCTAAAATAGAATTCAAGCATGAGAAGTAAGAAAAATAGAAAGGCCATCATCCCCAAAGAAAAACATCAGGTATTATATTACAGTATTATTTTCAAATATGGACATAAGCATGCAAATATAACCACTCCAAGTAATTGTTGTTGTTGTTATTTGCCGTCGAGTCAGCCCCGACTCATAGCGACCCCTCCTTGGGTTTCTGAAGCAGTATAGTAGTTAAGCAACACAAAAACTATTGTGCAAGATGGAGAGTAAACTGAAACTATGCTGCAGTCTTATTGATCTTCACTTCTAGCCTATTTGGTCATTCCAAAGTACACCCCCAGGACATGAGACCAGCAAACCATTATGACAACTGTGTAGAAACCAGAGAACATCTCTGTGTCTGTAACATCAACTATGCCACAGTAACATTTAGACAGCAATAGCAGATCACATTCTTTTTGATAATATTAAGTAAAATACTTAAGGGAACAATGGAATATTCAAAGAAATCTTAGTGCTTTAACAAGAAAAATGACATGCTGGGGATGTAATTCTGTGGAAGGCTGTACTAGTATCTTCAAACAGCAACAATTACATAGAAATTCATTTCAACAAATGATGCCACACCCAATAGGAGGCATTTTGATATTTCAGGCACAACTTCAAGCAATAAAGCGCATTTAAAGTGCAAATCTGATATTCTCTTTCATATTTAAATTTTACTTGTTAAAATACATAGTAAGTTCCTTAGTATCTATATAAATACAATGAACAGTAGTTGATACACCCAGAAATACTGCACAAATGAAAATGAGACTCTAAAAGAAAAATATTACAGAGTCTCAGTTATTACAAACATCTAAATAATTTTATCATCCTTTGTGTAATGCCTTAAAATCATGTGTACCTGCACTGATTAAATCCTTTGGCCAAGATTTCTTTACAAAATTGGAAATGCATCCCACTAACAGTCAAATGTAATTCTGCATACTTGATTTTCTTTCACAAATGAGAAACTTAACCAACCCCATAAAACTTTGTCCTCAGGAATTAGAAATCATGCACTGCAACCATTTTCACCAGCATCACGAGAATTAAGAGAAAAAGTGATCTGCATTCTTGTGGAGGAGGATATGAAACAGAGGTGACTTATGAAAATAATAAACAGAGATACAACCAAATCTGGGAGGGTGATCTCTGATTACATCCTCACTTCTATTTTTGATTGAACATTTACTACCTAAGGAGCAGACTAGCATAATATTCTTGAAGTTTTTAAAGAGAACTACAGGCAAATACTTTTGTTGTTTTGTGCAAGCATCCTAGACTTTTTCTCTTAAATAAATTATGCCTTGTAATTATGTCAATAAGCCTATCTTCCATCAAGATTAATACTCAATAAAGCTGAACTAATGGGTTAATATTTTTAAAAATTCATCTGGGAGAAAAAAAGGGGCAGGACAAAGAATAAACAAGTTTCTGGAGTCAACATTTTAATATACTGGACAATAAAGACATTTCCCTCAGGCTAGGAGGTTAAAAATAAATTAAAAATATAAAATTTTCCTAAAGATAAAGGACAACTTGCAAATAATGTTTCACATGAGACTATAACAACTCCCAGATAACCAAGAACTTATTAATTTCATCAGTGTCTTTTACTTTAGGGAAATAATATATGATAGCATCCCATCTGCAATATATGAGACCAGTTCTTGTTTTCTTCAAAACTAAAGCCCATATACGAATGCCCATTGGAGCTGCCATCTTTACAGCCTGTCTCCATGAACCACAGTGCTTTGCTAACATGTCTGATCACTCTATACTAACAGTACCTAAACTCTTGTGAAGAATTCTCTGAGATTTCGTGTTTCTTTCCAGAAGTGCTGACAAGTGAAAGCAGGATGTGATTTGTGTTGCTCAGCTATTACCACACCCATGAATGGTTTGTGTTCATTCAATGGCAAATTCACTTGAATGGTTCTCTATCCAAATAGATCAAATCCCATTTTTGAAATTTCCATTACAGTACTTCCTGTTGATTCTCTCATAAAGAAAGAGGCAGACAATTTCATTTCACAAATATACATTTTAAAATGGAATCCTCAGAACACTGAGTGACTAACTTTTTGGCCATCATTCCTCTTGATGCATTTTTGGTCAGCTGATCAAAACAAAACGACCTCGAAGGTGATCAGTCTAAAAGACACTAATTGCAATTAAAGCAGCTACAGGTAAACAGTCTAAAGATGACATGATTTGGGAGACAAAGAAGGCAAACAACCTGTCCTGTCCGGACAAGTGGTCTGCAGCATGATTAGCATTGTGCACATGGTCCCTCTGAGGCTCCATGACTACTTTCCATAGCACATTAAAATAAATAAGCACATTGCCTTCAAAACATTTTTTAATACCTTTTAATAAAAGACAATTTCTCCTCCTCAATTCTATTTCTCTTCCTAAATCCTGTCTACTTTTCAAGAAATTGTCATTCAAACATACAGCATGAAATAGAAACCTGGACAACTCAAGAAAAACAAAATAATTATCAATTCCAGCTTTTCTCAAGATAGTCTTACTTAAATTTGTAATTTTTCTCAAAATATTTTAACTTTTGTTATACAAAATAGTTTTAAATCACTGTGTATCCATCAAAGTTTTGTGCAAACATTTCAAGTCCATTATTCCATTCTTCTGAAAACAGCAGAAAGTCAATAAATACAAATTTACAATAAAGACTTAATTTAAAATATATGCTGTGGAATCTTAAAACAGCTATCATGGATTCATAAGCCTACAGGGATCAAAACTTGAATTACCAGCAAACCTCTAGCACCAACACATTTTATAAATGGATACATCTGTAGGTACAGGTTTCAAGATACGTTAAGCTTCCTTTCATCAAAATTTACCCAGAAGCAAAACAAACGTAAATAGTGCATGTGGTGATAGTGGTGGTGGGGAGTGTTTCAACATGTTAAAGCAACATATAACTGATTCATATATAATATGAAACATTTTCAGCCTAGGGGACTTTTCTGATAAATTAATCAATATTAATACTAGCTTGCTGATCCTAGCAGGGAAAATAAAACCTACAAAAACTTCCCATGAAAAGCTTGATTTCCTTTATTATCACAGAGCATTTACAATGACCTTCTAATTATATAAAATAATGTCAGAACTTTGCTGACTACCATCTTCCATTATCACCAATATTTTAGATAAAACAATAGCCTTATTCATAGGACAAGTGAGAAAGGGCAAGTTTCTGCTAACCACAATTAATACAGACTTTACCTAAATAAATAAATAAATAAATAGAACTAACAAAAACAAACGTATTGCCAATACGTAGATTTTGACTCATAGCGACCCTAAAGATAGAACAGAACTGCTCCATAGGGTTTCTAAGCCTGTAAATCTTCACAGAACCAAATTGCCACATCTTTCTCCTGTGGACTGGATGGTGGGATTAAAATGCTGACCTTCTGGTTAGCAGCTAAGCACTTTACCCACTGCACCACCAGGGCTCCATAACATAAACCTTCAAAGGACTGCAATAGCAAAGCACATTTCTTGCCTGCTAAGTGGAGTATTATGCATTTTATGATAAGCAGAGGGAGGATAACATGATTAGAGCTTTCTGTAGGATGCTGATACGGGTAAGCAAATGTCTGTGTTTACCTGAGACAAGTATGTTCAAATGGTATGTACTTCAACCAGAATATAAAATGGAAGAGCCAAACTAGCAGAAGATTCCATGCTTTAATAGTTAAGATTTGCAGGCTTTCAATGGAACCTCCACCTTGGTAATAAAATGCACATAAAGGACAGATGAGCTTGTTTCACAAAAGCAAACTGGTACGTGATGGCTATGTATTTAATGTATCTTTGGTTTAGGAAGACGAGAATATCGATTAGCGGCCAAACAATCCCCAGAATGAAAACTGTCATTCAGAATCTGCACAACTTCTTTTCTTCGTGTTAGTGGTCTTGGGATGCTTGTCTTGGCCTGGAAGTTTTGAGGCTCTAGTCGGGGGTTACTTATTTGTTTTTGTTTGAAAGAGCTGGAAGGGGGGCGAAGCTTAGATTCTTTCAGATTAGGATTATTTGTAAGATTTGTCTGACTAGATGGTGGCTGAAGTTTTGATGAATTACACAGTGTGATTATTGGTGACTTCTTACAAGTGGCAGTCTTACTTGGAGATGATTCAGAGACTGGAGGAGTTACCAAAGAATTCAGGATGGATGGCTTTATAAGTTGCAAGGCCTTGGGCTGAGACATGTAGCCCACTGGTGAAGGCTGATTTCTTATAACTCTCTTAGCTTGGTCTGCTGTACTTGATTGGGGGGGTGTCGGCAGAGAAGTGGGTACAAACTGCACATCACTTACGTTGTTATTCGCCAAATGATAAGGCTCTGGAGCATTTACAGGTATTTTCAAGTTTGCTTCAGAAGACATACTATTAGCCATGTCTGTAGTGAATTGTGGGCTTGACAAGAAAGGCAGGTCATCTAGACTGTACTTGCTTTCTTGTTGCCAGCCATGCGTAAAGCTTTTGTCCAGATGCGTAACTCTCTGATGGGTGCTCTGGGGAGCACATTCACTGTGGGCCTCGGTACGCTGCAGCTTTATTAGTTTTCCCTGGGTGTGGTCTGTGGGTCTGGGAAGGCTGCTGGAAGGCTGTAGTACTTGAGGCTGTTAAAATTGAAAAAAACATTAGCAATAGTATATTTTAGGAATGCCACTGATAATCAATATAAGCTCCAACTGGGCTGTTTTGGTACATGGTATGATTTAATACAAGCAGAAAGTATTTTTTTTTCAATTTAGGAAATGAATTGTAATACTCAAGTGAATTCATGAGACACAAGAGTGATAATGCAAACAAAAAATTATACAAGCAGTAAACATTAAACAAGATCCAAATTAAAAGAAAAGAATAAAAACTTAAAGTACTGATATATTGTAGAAAACAATTCTCTGCCTTAAATGGTTAATTATTTAAAACCTTGTATATAAAAGAGCTTGACAATAATTTCCATAGCTTAATCTCCATGAAGTATTCAGACTTTGACCACAGAAATATTATCTCTTTAAAATTTTTTTTTCTTTTCAAGAAAAGTTGACAAGCATGTTAACACAGTTGACTTAAGGAAGTTCTTAAAGGTGTCAAACTGTTTATCTCCGTTGAGAATCAAAATTACCAGTAGATAAACAGATTAGAATTAAGGTTATATTCTCAATTGAAGTGAAATTCTAATTACTTAAGCAAAAATAGGCCAATGCATTTAGCTAATAATAATCTATAACCACACTCACTGCCATCAAGTCAGATCTGACTCAAAGCGACCCCTCCTTTGGTTTCTGAGGCGGTATCACTACGGAAGTAAATTGCCCAATCTTTCTTCTGAGGAATGACTGGTGGATTTGAACCTCCAGCCTTCTGGTTAGCAGTCAAATGTCTTAGGCACTACGCCACCAGAGCTTCTAATCTACCTTTAATATTCTTATTGAAAAGTTTCAGAATGAAATGTTTTCAAAGCTTATTTGTTCTGTCTCAATGCTATACAAGGACCAACTAGGGTTCTGTTATGCTGGTATGTGGAAAATAGCCAGATTTACTCTGCTCAAGAATTAACATCCATTTAGTAAATTAAAAATTAAGTTTCTTGAATGATGGCTGACAAACTGAAATTGCCTCTAACTTGAACTCAAGAGAGGTCTTCCAAGCACAGACGCCTAGGATCGCACAGTTCTTAAAGCCATACACCCATTTCTCTGGTGCTCAATGTGTGGTTATGCTCTGTATAAATCAGAGAAAACATGCAATTGTCATTACTTTGGGGTCTTCAGTAAAGGATTACGAATCTCAAAGTTCTCTTTCAATGGCCCAAATAGTTAAAATGTATGGGTAGGGTTTACTGGTCATGTAGTTGATGTCCAGGCTGGTTGCTCTAAATGTTTAATTATACTATCTCTCTCTCCCCACCCCTTCTCTCTCTCTTTCCACTACATAATGTGGGCTAGAAATGTCAAAGACTTTGACAAAGGCTTTTGAAACATGAACTTTAAAGGATCATTTTCTACTTGTGAAATGTATGTATTTTCCTAAGCTGATCCAACACAATCTACACATTATTTCTAACTTCACCCAAAGATAGAGCAAATCTATACATAAGGCATCATTTTTATTTTTCCATGTCTTTCATCACCTTTTCATCTTTACTGACCAGCACTGGATAATGCTGCCTAGGGCCAGTGATCAGGAATTAATTTATGGTAGGAATGGGGAAGATGGAGAACAAAGTTCACCAACTTATGAAGGGTCAGTTAGCCAGGGCAGCACAGCACTGATTTGCTATTTAAAAAACAAATATCAAGAAAACAGGACTTGAGTAAGCAAAGATGGCGGACTAGGCAGAAAGACTGTGCAGACCCTCTTCAACAAAGAAAAGGGAAACCAATTAACACAGACACAGAAGATAATTCGGGACCTATGAGCCTTGAAGGGAAGGATACAGAAGTGGACTAAACCCCAACTAACAGAAGAATTTGCATGAAAATACCAAAAAAGAAGACAGACGGAGCTGCAGTCTGGCAGCAATTCTGAGCAATCCTGACGGCACAGCACAGACAGCTTTGAGAGTGCCAAGTGGTGGTAGGACCTAAGAATTAATGTAAAAATCAGCCCTGCTAGCCAGGGACTACACGGAGTATGCTCTGGTGGCTGGGGAATAAACAGAGAAGGTGAAGAGAAATGTGGGCTGAGCTGTGTACTTCTGCCTGTCCAGAGGGTGCTGCCATTTTGAATGTTCACAAGCAGATTGACCACTATGTATATTTAAAGAGACAGTGCTCTTGAAAATTCCAAGGCCTTAAGAACAGGTTCTGCTTACCAGCAACCCCAAGGATACTCCAGACGTGCAAGACTGAAAAGTTTTTTGATCCTTATTCAATTGCAATTTTTGCCTGAGAGGGACATAGGAACAATTCCTGTAAGACACAACTATACCCACACCTCCTGCAACTTCACTTACTGAGCAAGAACCACTTCTCTTCCTTCTTGATCAAAGAGTCAATGATAAAAAACCATCAAGAAGAGCCTGAATCACCCTTGGTTGCTCTTCACAAATAGTCACCAGAGATCTAAATACAAAAACGCCACGATGTCTCGGAGACAATAGACCATCACAGTCCACACAAAGAAGCAGGATAAAGTGGTAGAAACAAGGGAGTAGGATACAGACCCAAAACACATCCCTGAGGAAGAAGCAGCACTAGAACTCTCTGATAAGAATTCAAAAGAATTTAGGTATCTTCAAAGGATTGAGAGAAAGACCAAAGAAAACACAGAAAAAAACCCTAGAAGACTTTTGGAAGAAAATACAAGAACAAAATGACAAAATAAATGAAAAATTAGAAATGATTCTAAATCTACAGA